ATTGTTTTTTGTGGTTTTTAAAAAAAATTTACCAATCAGAGTCCAAAGAGTCAGATCATTGTGACTCTCATTCCAGCATGGTATTTAGAATCATGTCCAGCCGCGACAAAAGTTCTCTTGCTCATCACTTTGCAACTCTTTGACTCGCCACTTTTTGGTTCAAATTTGACAGAGAAAATATTAATATTTGTAAGAGAGCAAACCTCTGGAATCGGGGAATGGAACACTTAAATGAAACCTATAGTAATGTTAATAACAATGAAGGTGTTGTAACCAATTGCTTCATCTATTAATAAATTTAAAAGATTTAATACCATGTAGGTCTAAACTTGCTATCAATACATTATGATTCCATTTTTTTTTTCTTTGGTCAACTGAAAGAGACCTTTTTGCGTAAACATATTGTGCATCCAGTCCTGAACATTCTACAGGACCAAAATCCTGACTTTATACCCTTAAATGAGATGTCAAACATCCCCACCCCAATCACATGAGAGTCTCTTTGATTATTGACCCACTGGAATGTATCTTCTCTTTGTAGCTTGTAGAGGGTTGTACAGGGGTATTCTCATGATGCATGCTTAGCTGATTTTATTTTCCGTGGAATGTGAATTTGGGAAATTATTATTCTTTGTGACTCATGACCTGAAGGTATTGCGTGACCCGTGAAGAACCTGAATTATTAACGGATATTTGTGATTTTACCACTCTAGTCTACACTGTACGTGATTTTTGGATGCAATTTCTCCGAACGGTTTGAGTCATCTATCGAGAGTGACTTAGATATGCGATTTGCAATCTTTCTTCAAACACTGCTTCTAGTGTAAGAACAGGTCGTTAAAAAGAGTATCTTACTTGCTTATTTTTGTGATTCGGGAAAACAAAATTTTTATATCGGTGATTCGTGATCCTCTATTTTTTCCATTCGTGAACTGTGCCCAAGACCCCCCCTGTATGACCCTCCTCGTACTATAGAACCCTAAATGTCAATAATACCAGATTATTTGTAAGAAGTAGACTTACATCTATGTTAACAATGTATTGCATCTTAGGTTTATGCCAGGTATTTATTACAAGTACTGGTAGTGATAAACAGGTAATGGGTAAAGGCTAACAGGTGACGAGTATAGAATATTTATAGGTTATTGACCATCAAATTTTTAATCAAGGATTTAGCTTTCTGTCTGAATCAAACTTAAAATGTTTATTTGTGTCCAACACATTGTACTGACTGTAGTTTAATGCGTGTTCTTATGAGTCTGGGCTCACAAAGATGTTACAATAATATTACTGGGAATGCGTTCTTATAATAAGCATTAAATAATGCCAAAATGGGGCATTTTCAATGCCTCACTGCTCCTTAATGAGCATGGGCACCCCCCCTTTTTTATTTCAAAATTGAAGTTATCTTATGACAAATATTCAGTGGACAAAGTTTGGACAAAAATCTATTGTCACTTTTATTTCGGAGGAATTACCTTAAAAGTGTCAAATGTTCACTGGTAATCTATTTGGAATATTTGACACTATTAAGAGCCTTTTGAGCCTTATATCTAATTTACCGGCAGTATCACACATCTTTTGGAAACATTTCCTTTACAGCTTTTGTTCCCGCAGCATGTTATCCTTCTCCCAAACGTCTTCTTGTGTTGAGCTATAAACTTGATAAAAACACAGAAAATTGTTTTTTATTTCTTAATCAAAAAATACCTGTCATTTAAATGTGCCCTTAAATCTTTTGAAACTTGTTCTCAGGAATCTGATGGGAAGTATTTAATAATGATGGTGGACCCTGATGCACCCTCTAGAGGCAACCCTACATGTCAGAGTTGGCTTCATTGGATTCTTGGCAACATTGAAGTTAGTGACATTATTGTATATTAAAATGCAGTTCATTCTTAGTACCATCTTTTGTCTTCCCCTAGATTTATTCACTCTAACATGGAATTTAACATCACTTGAAGTTCCCAGACACAGTGGCACCTGAATGTATTAAAAGGGTCTCGTAAAATTCAGGGTTCTCCTTATCAGGCGGCAACCAGTAAAATTTACCGCTTGTAAGAGCACTTATTACCGCCTGTAAACGCTCAGAAGTCTTAAAAAATATGCATTTAAAGTGAAATAAGCAGGCAGTTGCCATCAAAGTGCCATGTTTTCAAGCATGACTGGATCGATGATTACATTGAATTCTGCCGTAAAAGTAGTGTATGGTGTCTGGCATTTAAGGAGGGTGAGGGAATGTTTTGTTGTCTTTGTAAGAACTGGGTCTAGAAGTCCCAATTCGTTCCTTTATCTGTTTTTATAAANATAAGCGCCCTGGTGAGAGCCTGCTAATCCACCTGTTCTGCAGGTTAGAGTCTGAACGTCTCGCGCTCACACTCAAAACACTTTGAAGTCTCGGTCTTGCAATCTAAAAAGTCAAAATGTCTCGGGTTCACAAAGAAAAATGCCTGTCTCACCATCTCGCAAAGTCTCGCATTTACCATTTGCCACCCCTAAAAGAGTGACTCTGGATTTGAATTCGGGACTACCGAGAAACAAATCCCGCCAGTGGCAGGGTGGAGGCCTTGAACCCGGGACCTCCAGATTACAACACTAGCACCCTAAACCATCCCACCACATATGGTTTTTAGAGTGAACACTTGCAGTGAGATCAGCATACATTCTTTTCAAGAGCTTTGTTGCACTCAATCACCATTTTTGACAATAAGGTTTACTTGCATCTGGTTAGTTCATAGAAATGGGAAAATAGACTGTGACAATTGTCATTTTTGTAACTGTTTGGTGCTATCTTACTTTAGGGAGACGACCTAAAGGAAGGAAGTATTGGATCAGGTTCTACTTTCACAGGTAGAAACGATTCATGTGGTTAAGTTGTATTGTTTTGAAATGTGTGTGTGCTTTTCAGTTTGATTTAAAATAGGATATATAGAGGTACATGCTTCTCAGCCTATACATCATAGGTCATCTGTGATGTCCCCTTTCAAAGGGTTTGATTTTGTACAGTATGTGGCCTGCTTAGGGTGAACTTTTTGCTTTGATCATGATATGTAGATAACCAGGTGTGGAAGGTTTTGTCGTAGAGATCAGCTATCAGTGTATCATTTATGTTGTTCTCTCATTGCAGATTACAATCCACCTACTCCACCTAAAGGGTCTGGTCCCCATAGGTACTACTTGTTTGTCTTCAAACAACAGGAAGATTTGGGCAGCGAAGCTGAGGTTGACAAACGTTGTGGCTTCTCAATTGATAAATATAAGGGAAAATTTCATTTGACAGCTGTGGCTGCAAACATGTTTACAACTGAAAATGAGTGAATTAGGACAAACAATGTTTATAACATTTGCATTATAGAATCAGACATGACAAGTACTTAGTACACGTGACAGAGTTTGTTCATTGTTTGATGCAGCAACAATGCAAGTTCCATTGCAGCATTAATCTATGCTAAAAAAATTAATAGAACACAAGATGTAACAAGAACTGGTAAAGTCAGGAAAAAAGTGATGCGAGGATGCCATGAAAAAAAAAAATAATGATGATAAGTAAAAGAGAGAAAAGTATATTTTATATGTTTGATGGAATTTACATTGGATCAAGCATTCATTTACACCTGTATGCAGTGTAATTACATGAAATAAAGTGTATAGTTTTAGACGAAACTTTAGTAATTTAGACTGACTGTTTTTAAAAGCAAAGTGTAGCAATGGATAGAAGATGTGAATCCAACCCAAATGAATGGAAAGGGAAAAAGCTGATAAATGTGTTTAAGTATTTTTAACACATTCAACTGCTTCTTTCCCTTTCCCACCTTTAGTTTGAACTTCAATAACAGTCAACTCACAACAACACTAAGGAATGTGGGCAGGTCAGCCAAAAAAGTGGGAATCTTTACTCTACAGAAAACTGTTGCCATTCCATGGCTTGTTGATTTTCATTTACTCAAAATGATTACAATATAGTAAGGTGAAAAATGACGAGGATTCATTCATTCTTTCACAGCAATTTGTTTCCACTGCAATTTTGTTCCAAAATATTATATTGGCTTCATGGAAAAACAAACCTACTTAGCCTATGTTGGATATCGGAATTAATGAGAGGTGTAACCATTGAGGCACAGCTGGCTGCCTCGGACCGAGACCCTGTCCTCTATAAAACTGGTTTTAGTTGCTCTCAGGGTGCTTAGAATCAAATTATGATGAACTTAAGTTTAAATTCTCGTAACCATAGCCTTCTCTAGAAATACCGGTTGCATAAATTTTGACAGGCGGGGAGGCCGTGTTTCAAGAGGTGAAATTTGATGCCATTTTTTAAAAATTCACCTCATCACAGACTGTGACAGTAAAAAAAAACTGTTAACCCTTTGATTTGATTGTGACAGGTCAATTGTGTACTGAGCAATCACAGTAAAGTTCAAGACCATAAACAAAAAAGCTGTTTTCAGTTTTGTTTTCTCACACCTAATTAGCCTTTTCCTTGCTGCACAATAACATTCCATATATATTTCTGGCGTTCACAGTTTTCCGAGTTTCACAGCAGTTTTACAGGGACAAACTATTCAATGCCACTTTTGCTCATTTGAAGAACTAGCTTTCTTTGATTTATGGAATTCGAGATTCCAGATAGTAATAGCAGTAGTAACATATTCCACATTTTGGGAGAGGCCATTTGAGAGAACAGCACTAGAGAAAAACACTCTTGGACCTAGTACAGTGGTATACTGATGGTTTGATTGGCCTTAAACCCAGAGGCAGAGACAATGGGGGCAGTGGTAACACTTTGCAAATGCAAATGATCACTGACCAGCAGAGGCTATATTCAGTTATTTACAAAGTTAGCGGCTGGTAAAGTTCCATTGTCATTTTTTTATATATATGGAACAGAAATGGTTGTGGCAATGAAGGGTTTAATCCAAAGACTTCAACGGTTATAATTTATAATGATACAATAATTATCATCACACCTAACACTAGTAGTAAAAGAAGCTTGAGGTCAACACTATGGTAGGCCCATTTGTATTTTATTTGAAAACTATCAATTTTCCAGTATTGGTCAAAATTAGTAAATACTGTTGGTCCTAAAAGAAATCATGGACGCTATCTACATACCCCAGATTTCTACAATTTTATTTGACAGTGCAGACAATTGTACCACTTTTGGGGCATCTCTAGTGAGCCTTTGCCTGACAACATAGGTTTTTTTTTCCAGTGCCACATGTCCTAATTCACTACCAAAGAGAGCCATCTGAGATTGAACCTGGGAAATTCAATTTTTGACCTTACTGACAATTATGTTCACTACAACCATTGGTTGTACCAATCAGAGACTATGTTAAGTGAGACCTGTATAGGAGATTGTTCAAATTTTTCCACTCTAATCTCGGATGTCTGACAAGGCTGGGCACCTAAATTAAAATAGCTGCACAAAGAATATGAAAGCCAGGGCAGGATTTTTAAATTTCCCTTCAAAATGTTCCCTAATTCACATCCAACTCTCTTGATACTGAGTCTAACTTGCTAACCATTAGAAAACCATGAATTGTGCTTCTCCCATGCGCACAACCATAAAGTAGCTCCTCTACTTTTTCTTTATAGGCCTTAGAGTGTGGTACAAAAGAATGTATAAGGGAAACCGTGGCCATACACACAATTATTATATGGCTAGCTCTGTGAGCGGGCAAGATGAATCAAATCCTGCGCTGTGATTGGCTACCCGAGCTGGCAAGATGGAGCTATCTTGCCCGCTCGGGACTACCCGCCGTGTCCCGCAAGAAAAATTTCCCCAAAAGCCATATAATAAATCCTTTATTGACCAAGCTTGTTCGGTCAAAATGGCTGGACATTGGCCTCGTTCTTTTTTTTGCGAGTTTATGGACCTCGACTCCGTCTCGGTCCATAAACATGCAAAAAAAGAACTTGGCCAATGTCCAGCCATCTTGACCTCACACTTGGTCAATAACCCGTACAGACAAAAAAAAGCTCAAAAACAGAGTTCCCCTTGTACAGAATAAACTAATATCTGAAAAGACATGGTAAAGCCTAAATATAGTGTAAGTTTACACATGTATAGTGAAATTTCCACAAATGCACTGTACCACAGCAAATTATCACAACAGAGGGCTGTAGGCAGAAAACAATTATGACTGAGGCAAATTATGAATGTCCCTGGTTAAATTCTCTTCCTAGGTATTTAGGGTGTTTATGATGACTATGAACAACAAAAAAAGACTGAGGAAAGTGCCTCAGTTTGCCTGTTATTGGCCATGGCCCTGCAAGCACCAGGGAGGGTAGCAAAGGGGGAGAGTGATTGAATTTCACACAAATTCACACACCACCTATACTTTCAGCTACTTACATGTATAACAACAGGGTTTTTTTTTTCCATACGTACAAATCATATACACCTTTTCATTGTTTTTCATGTGTTTTACTCTAATTTTTGCTCTCATGTGTCAAGCAAAAACCCTTTGCAACCCTCTCAACAGAAAATGCAAACTTCAAGAGTGATACCTCTCAAGTTACTTCTCAAACTCATTAATAATTCATCAAGTTAAAACAAAGAAAATCACAACCGTGAAGGAGGTTTGGATACCCGGTCTTAATTAGCATAGATTTTGACGATTTTACTTCTCCGTTTATTCCTTAGTTTTTGTTTCGATTGAGAAGATATATCAAACACTCAAGACAGTGTTTCATTGGCTATCCAAACACCTTAAAGTTCGTCAAAAATACTCCGCTGCATGTTGTATTTTCAACTCTCTTCTCAGTGTTTGGATATCCAGATGAAACACTGTCTCTCATGTTTGATATATTACTTCTACAACCCTTGTGCTGAAAAATAGAGGTTAAAACAAATTTATCAGAAATAAAAATTTTGTTTTTGTCATGTTAACTAATGTTGTTAATGTAGTTCTAAGGACAACTGTAACATAAAGGTAACACAGTAAAAGGATGAATTCAGCTAGGTGTTTCTTTGAGATTGATCCCTTGAGAGATTGGTTTCCAGTGCTAGTGGTTTTCGCTTGTAAGCTGGCCAACGACAAACAGGGCAACAGTAATGACCACTGGTATGTCCTCCGCATAACCATACTTCAATACACTTTTGATGGTAACAATGACCACAGGGCAAACCAAGTAAAAAGCATCCTTTTTTGAAGTCCTCCAGACATATTGCACAGTCATGTCCCACTAGCATTCCAGCTGGTTTTGGAGATTCTTGGCAGCAAGTGCTGTGCTTCACATGCTTTTTTGTGCAATCCTCATGTTTTGTGTCACAGCATTGGTTTACCTGAGAACAGCAGAACTTCCACACTGGCAGGCTGTTGATATATTCAGTGGGAATTATTGGGCGAAGCCACAATTCAGGGACAGCAAGGCGTCGCACAAGGAGCTCAAATCCATCTTCGAGACCTGAGGCACTGTAGTCAACTCGTGGTTGTCTCAGGGAGGGAAATGTTTGAACAGCATTTGTTAGGTAGTATAGATCTTGAGCAAACCATTCAGATATTGAAGTAACATTGTTGTTTTCACTCTCCAGGCCAAAGTAACCATTAATCCTTACTTGAATCCATCGTATCAGCATGCCATACATGACATATCCACCAAATACAAGCCCCCTGTGTTGTAAACCCAAACATATGTAATCCCTCAGGATGGCTGCAACATCAGATGTCATGGCATATCTGCAGTACTTGAGAGTCAAATCCAGAATTGGGGTCAGGAATGGCAGTTGGAACAGTGCAAGAACTGGCAGGCACAGTATTATTAGACTGGTGTTGTAGAATATCAGAAGCCATACAAAGTGGATCAATCTTTTCAGTATACCTCCATTCATTAGGAACAATCCCATGAAACAGCTCATATTCACAACCAGCAGAACTGTCACAAAAACATCATTCACCTCTGGATGTATCGTTCTCAAAAATAGATCCAGCGGGCGGTATGTTATCCATTCTCCTTTTCTGTGGCCGTAAGTCAAATTCCCCTCCGGTGTAAATATCATAAGGCTAGGGAAATTATCCATGTTGTATTTCTTAAAGATATGTCTTTTTGTCATCCAATCGTGTATATGTACGTGTCCGAATCGAACCCTTCCTGTGAAGTGAACTGACAGTGAACCAAGATACAAAGGAGGATCTGGCAAGGTAGAAAATAGCACAACATAGACGGGATTTTCCTTCAATCTTGCTTTAAATGTGCCAGTAAATTCTTCTACGCTGTCAAACATTGCAATCTTGGATGACAGCTGTGTGTTTATCCATTTAAACACAAGTTCAACCGACGGTTTCGAATCGTATGTTTTTAAAATGACGTTACCCTTGGGTTGATTTCCCTGGGGCATTGAAATGACAAGGGATGGCTCGTGCCAGCCGTATTTTTTGCACAGTCTAAGGCCGTTTTCACAATTAAACGTTCCTATTCGAATGCCAAATCGAGATATCTTTCTTTTAAGCGCTACCCACTGCTTTCTACGGAGCAGAGAAGTATGACCCTGGGGTATGACATCAACCAACCAAGTCCCCGCTTTCGTGTCTTCCACTTCTTCAAAGAAGTGAGATGCTCCGGTGAACTGCAACTCGTCGCTTTCTTCTTTGTCGTCTCCAGAATTTTCGGTGACAAGAGAGCAGTTTTCAGCCTCCGTCACCGCACCACAAGCCTCAACCAACTCGGCAAGCTCTTTCTTCTCCACCAAGCCAGTGTAACTCACGCCCCGTTGTTCCAAGATCGCCTTCAGTTTTCTCACGCTTAGAGCGAACGGATTTAAAAGCTGACTGGCTAAACACCCCGCTTTTAACCATGTCGATGAAATTTCGAAGATCCGAGCAACAAGAAAGGCCAAAAGGAGATAACTCAACAGCACTATCAACAGCTTTGCCAACATGGCGATCACAGCATAATAACATGCATCGGATCAGGTGCTATATTTGGCGGCAAATAATCGATGTATTCTGTGTTTTGATTGGCTACTTCGAAAACGAGTCGCGAGATCCTGTACATCTGTGTGACTAACGAGCTGATGGGAGCAAGCGGTTTTTACTTATTTATTTTTTTTCCCTTTGATTTTATATCTGGTGAAGTTTATCATCGTCTTTAATATCGTTTAACTCAGCGGATGATTACCTTTAGCTGAGGAATAGGACAGCAGTCTACTGAAAAAGAGTGAGTGTTGAACTTCGTAGCCAGACTAAGGCATGGATACTCCCCATGACCAAGGTAACTCAAGGTCTTCACAACTTTGACATTTGAGGAAGATTTTCCACAATTAATAGCTACATGTATAGCTATGGGTTATTACTTGCAGAAGTTCTTTCTCGACACACCAAACAATTTTTGTAAAGCTCTGGGTAAAATGGCAATGGAAATATCCAGTGAATTGAGTTTTCATTGAAAGTAATGGACGAAATATTCGGTGTTGGTTGGTCTGAGAACAGTGTGCCGCCATTTTAAATACGTTTCTTCTCAAATTTTTATTCAATTAACTGGAAATTTCCAATATCAGTGTATACCTAACGAGAAGAAAAAGCAGCCATTTAACTTAACGGGGCGAGTGAGTGACTGTTAATTGAAAAGAATGGTGCCTAAAACAGGGGCAAGGTTGACAGAGATTTCACTGAGGTTGACATTGTCACTGCAAGATGGCCAAAAGGGCATGGCTGATACGTAGAAAACGTCAAACAAGTAACAGAGTGTGTCTGCATCAGAATTATTTTTAAACACTTAAGAAATGTTGTACAATGTGCAATACCTAAGATTTACTATAAATTATGGTTCACAAATTTGATAGGGATCTTGACGGTTTAATAATTATAGCCAGGGAAGATATTTGTTTACAAACAATTTTTTTGTTGTTTAAATTTCCAGGAAATGAAACAAAAGAACTCTCTAGCTGGCAAATTAACAACAACAGCTGACTTTACTGATATCTTTGCTATACTTTTTTGGGTAATCCCTTGTAGATATGTAGTGATTTTCTTGAGTGATTTTACCTTGAGTGATTTTATCTTTCTTTTTTTTTTTTTTTTCCAGCTTCGATTCCTTTCGTCGTTCCTTCCTTTGAATTTCTCAATTTTGTTTTAGTTATAGTTCTCAAACAAGAAGTTAAGTACTTTCTATTAGACTTTAAGACTTACCTCGAGTATTGGTNTGAGGATGCTTGTTGTCTTACTTAGAGGTGTGAATCACAGAGGTTGGTCTCAGTTATGGTGTTCAGGATGAAACACCACTATTGTATCTGTCAAGGTATCTTTTGGGGTTTCATGCAAAGAAAGAATTAAAAAGAAATGCTGTCTGCCTGTTTTAAAGTGGTATGTTTTTGCGGGTCAAATCACGAGCCACACCCAGATTGGTCTCTGTAGGGGTTGAATTCAAATTATCTGACAAGCCTTCCCAACCCTCATATGGTGGAGTCCTTGCCTCCCAATTGGGATGTTCTCATGCAAAGAAAGCAACACACCCAATAAGAGGAAAATGAATGTATTTTACACTCTTGTGAAACCAATGGCAACTTATTACTGTGGATATAGGCAGAGCACATTGGGGAAAACATGACAAGATAAGTGAGCAGAGAAAAACATATTCTCCATTTTCACCCCAGTTTGCTCTTGTCTTTCCTTCAATTCCTATATCAGTTTGTAGAGAAAAGATGAAGAGAGCCTGAAACAGGCTACTTTCACTGTTGAGGGGTTTTGTTGAAACAGACAGCATCATTAATGATAATAGTAAAACCTCATAGGCTTGAGTGGGCACTCACCTGTACTGATGACAAAAAAGGGAAGGTTAAAGTCATTTGCAAAAAAAGCCCCAGACTCTAGCTGAGGATAAGTAGTGCAAAGCCAGCTGTGCACCAGCACACTGTATGTTGTAAATATCTACCTCTTTGGATGCAGCTGTTTGCAGAACATGGCAAGTTTGTGCATTAATTAGCTCCTTAATGGTTGGTTGACAAGACAGTGTTCACTTGTTGTGATCATTTCTTTGGTTCTGGATCATTTGTTTGGTGGGGAGTATAACCCGTATTGGAAATCATTGCTTTCATACTGAAACAAGTTTATAACTTGGGCTTTGGTAATAATATTAACATCACTTATTGCTTGGTAAGTGGGAAAGGTTTTGAATCTGTTCGCTCTTGGTGTTGGTTAAGAGGAGACAAAGATCAGAACTAAAATCGTTTCAAATTTTTCAACTTTTATTCTTATCATCTTGTAGTGACCAGCACTTAGTTTATATAGTCAATAACCAGCTTGACTTAACTTTGTTTGTAATATTCTCTGACATTTGAAAAAATTATTCTCCTTGATAAACAGTTGTAAAATCTATAAATGTTTATACAATTGGGTTTTACCCATATATGAGTACATGTAAATATTAAAAAAAGCTATGCATTTTTGTAAATTGATTTCTACTTTGAAAAAAATTATGTATAGTAATTATTATTTCTACTTTACCAAGGAGAACAATTTGACAAAACATAACATCTTTACACAAAATATCTTAGATTAATTGTATACAGAAACCAGCTGTATCTTTTGTCTGTAAGTTTCATTGTATGAAAAATAGGTCCCTTTGGATCCCACTGGGACACTAAGTGCCTAAAAACATCTGCACATGAAAATATGTACAATAATAGGACCAGCCTAATTCTGAATATACTCAACTTATAAATACAACTAGCTTTACATGAAGTTCAACAATGAGCACTTCTTTTCAAAACATTAGCACCGTTCTCTTAAACAGAAAACGGTGTTTGGGAAACTCTTGTTAGTTTGAAACAAATACAGAGACCAGCTGTATTGTAACATTGTGTTTCTTTGTATGAAAAATATGTCATGAGGCATCATTGTGGTACTTGCAGTACCTTGAAAAAAATCTGCGTAATGAAAATCTGTACACAGGACCAGCCCACTTTTCAATTTCTCCTTAAAGTAATATACACAAATGTTCTTGGAATCACTGAGTGTTCAACATATTAAGAGTTCCTCAATATTGCAATGTCTTTAACAATGTCTTTAACAGTGCCAGCACTGCTGTGTTTTTGGCAAACACTTTAAAAAGAGTTCACTGAGGTCACTGGGACCTGGAGTGGTGATGGCGTTGATTGAGGAGACCGGCTCTGAATAGGTGAAACAGTTCCATTAGACTGAGAAGCCAGAGCTTTTCTGGCCTCCTCCTCTTTCTTAGCTTGTTCTCTCAAATGGATCTTCATGTGGCGACGGCGTTCATCGGATCGTGCAAATCGTCGACCACATGTGTCGCAGGCAAATGGCTTTTCTCCAGTGTGAGTACGGATGTGAGTTGTCAGATGGTCTGAGCGGGAAAAGTTCCTCATGCATATACGGCACTGGAATGGTTTCTGTCCAGTGTGGGTTCGCATGTGGCGGGTCAGTTCATCAGATCTTGAGAACCTCCGAGGACAAGTGTCCACTGGGCAAGCATAAGGCCGCTCACTTGGTGGTGTTCTTGAGCGACCATCAGTGGGGTTGTTACGCTTGGCTTTTAATAAAGAGTTACCAGCTTTTGCAGGACGACCTCTCTGAACAGGCTTGCTTGGCATTGTAAGAAAATCAGCTGGTGGTGTTGTATGCAGGAGCAGTTTGTCCATCATTGCAGTATGATCAGGAGACATGGTGGTAGGAAATGGAGAAGGGCCACCAAGGATTGGCCACTTCATATTCAATGTAGCTGTAGCTTGCATAAACATTGGCGATGTGGAGCTCACTGGCTGCTGCATGGGTCGTTGGTAAAAGTTGGTCTGTGCTGGTAGTTTAGGGAGCCCAGAGATGTTCTGAGTGTTGTTTGAAGTTGTCACTGGTACCTGCTCTTGTGGAAGCTCTTGTGGATTGGGATTCTGTACCTTGTTTTGTCCTGAACTCACTTCCTGCGACATGGGAAGCTTTGAGTCTTGGAAGAATGAGCTCCAAGGCGTAGTCCCGGCCTGGCTGATTAACGGAGTAAGAACTGTACGGTCAGGAATCCAGAGATTATGAGCGGGCGAACTGTAAGGGGAAGCGTGTCCGCTCGGTGGCGGTGTTGATCCAGTAGGTCCTGAAATCACATCATGTAGACTTGGCCCTTTGAAATGGGCTAAGCGCTGCTGACAGGCTTTGATAGACTGGTTTACTCCTTCTTGTTTTACGTCTGGTACAGTGTAGTCCAGGTCAAGATCTCCTGAAAGAGCGAGAAAGGAAAAATCAGTGTTCGCGAACTAGTGTAAATAAAGCAAATTAGCATAAATTAAACAAAAGCGTTGCGAAGGAAATATAAGTAGGATCTAGCCTAACTAAGAGGGAAATTTCTTACTTTTAGAAACAAATCAAAGACATTTGTATCCAGTGAAACAAGGCCGTAAACATTTGGGAGTGATAAATTTGAAATCAAGTTGCCGAAGACGAATTATTTACACACGTAGTCGTATGAAAGGATTCGAAAAGAAGCTAGCGCGTCTGATGGTTGTTTAAAATGTTCGATAGAAAAAGTTACCCACGGTCTTATGAGGAGCAAAAAGTTTATTTTTAAACGCCGACACGGCGGTACGCGTAGGAGGATTCGTTTCCGACCATAACAGACATTGGCAACCGAACGCTCGCTGGCTGTTAGATTTTAACGTCCGTTATTTTTTTTTAAACTAAGTACCTGGAACAGAAGTGTCGTGGAAATCAACCGGCTCACCAAAAATGTTGGTTGGTTCATCCATGCCGGAGTGTACGAATGAAAATTCCTCGGCACTGAGTTGAGGGACTTGGCGGGCTAGCTGAGGTGTGAGAAGGCTAGCAGTGTCGAAACCAAAAAGTTGGTCCGTAGCAACTTGAGCAAGGCTGTCCAGTGCTTCAGTCATGGTGATCATCATGTTAAATTATAAACACTTGTTTCTCCAAACGATGAAATTATTTGTCTTGTAGTGGTTTTTGTGTCGTTTGAACTGATCAACAGTATAGGTATAGGTCGAGTTATTGGCCAGCAACAACTGCGACTCGGCTTAGACTTCGGGGTCGTTTGCGTTCCGTCGGATTTACCTCCTTCGCTTCGTAGAGCTCGACGATTCTGTGTACGAACCGAGTGGGCGACTCCTTAAATGTAAAATCGATTGTTTCACACAAATACTTTGACGTGCCAGAATTTTCCAATAATGCAAGGCAGCCAATGAGCTCGGTGCTAATTTTAGCCCTAGTGCGTCAGCGCTTGACGCAGATAGATATTGCGTAAATGCGTATTGTTTATCAATAACCGGTATCGTCAAAGCAGTTTGATCGAAAGTGACTCTCGGCACATCTTTTTTCTTTTGACAGTCGGAAATCATGATTTGTATACTTCGTTGAGAATTTGGGTCGATTCGGAGTAAGCGAATTTCGAGTGTAAAGCGAAAAAAAAGCGAGAGTTCGGTTTGTAGCGTTACGGAAATGCTGATTGATAATTTGCATACGCGTCATCGGTTGTCACCCTGGTTTATATTGTACAATTGTTCAATTATTGTTTATTCTATGACGTTCATTCGCTGCTGGGTCCTCGGTCAGTCGGCCGTGACCAGAAAGAATTATCTAGACAGATTCATGCAAGTATGAAGAGGGTTTGGTTGCGAACTCTAAATATTGCACAATTTTTGGATGGGGTTATGCTCTCGCTTGAGAATACGGCTTCCTCGGACGTGCCTAATAATTTATTCGTGAAAAGACTTATCGTTAAAAATTCATCACTTATTGTGCGGATATCTTATTCAAAGCAAAATGTAAAGTAAACCACTTAGATTGGGAAGATCTTTCTTTTTTAATAAAACATAGCACAACCTGCCGTCCAAAAAAAAAAAAACATACACATTTATATATAGATATACTTAAAATATAATTTCGTTTTTGGAACGTCTTACTATGAAGGTTGCTGGGACTGCTCGTGCACCCAAGACATTTCTTTTCCTTTATTATTATAGTAATAATAATATATATTTTAAAATATTCTAAATCGGGAAGTCTCCAAAGTATTTTTTTTTTGGTTAAAAATAAACAGCTTCTAAAAACGGACACCAATTAAAGATGTCGTGGGTGCCCATGACAAAAAAGGAGGATTTGCCGAAGGCTAAATAACAGGGGCAGGTGCATTAGTCTTTTTCTTGGCTTTCATGATAAAAATAACCGGCCAACTACGTGAACTGACGTCAAATGCTTGCTGAGGATCCCTGTCTCGAGGTAACAGGTGAAAAATACGGATATCATTAACTTTATACTCATTACTTATTCATAGAATTTGGAAGTAAACGGATGAAGGAGGAACCGATGATATCGAATCACTGGAAAATCTTCTATTTTCTGAATTCGACGGTCACAGCCAATCCAAAAAGACCGTTATGATTGGAATCATTTTCCTGTAAAGCTGACGCGTTCGTGAAGCTCAACACTATTATGTCGATCAAAAACGTGCCACTTTTGGCACCTAAATGAGAGCGAAGACTCTATTTGCATTGCAAATCTCAAAGGGGTTCTCCATGTCAGTGTTATCTGTTTTTTTGGAGATCCGCCGCACTTGGGGTTGCTTATCAACGAATTTATCGAAAAGAACCATCAAACCGATTTGAAACCAAAATTCTCAGGCGAATTTTTATCGAAGCCGAAGTCGTTTATAACGTCTTTCCTCTTATTTCAAAGATGAGGCAGAATCTAGTCTATATACTGTATTCATGTTATCATCTCTGTAATAGTTTCAATCCATGAAGCACTCGGGTATTTCCGTCTCCAGTTTTCTTCCTTGCTGATGACAAATATGATTCGAGGGTATTGTTATCAGTTTGTTGCACTATTTCTGGTGTGTTCCGGAACCACTGCCGATTCGCTGTACGTCAGTAGCGTTAAAAAGGCAGTTTATTCTTAGTATGAGACAGAAAAGGCCCAGTAATTACATATGCAGTGTGCATGTCAAAAAGTTTAACGTTCGTTTAGATCATTAATTTTCGCCACCGAATATGAATATATTTTTTTCACTGTCGTGTCTAAGGACATGGTGGTATACGAAGGACATATCCTGCGTGATTTTCGGTATCCTTATTATCAATATTCTTGACAGTATCCTTAAATTAAGAAGAAACTTAATCTTCCCCACTTTGGCAATATTGTAAAGTCAGAAGAACGAAGGTTTGTGGTGCCCTTTTTGTCGTCACTTGTTAACAGACTGCTGAAGTCCTTTGCATTCGATAATCGTAATATTTTGTTGCTTTCGGCAAGCTGTATTCATCGTACGTATTTTCATAGCTCGGGTTTTAAATATTATTTTAAAAAATGAAAAATTAACTGGCGCGCAAAAAAATCCCATGATTCAATTCCGGCAGGAGACCAGCTGCGCCGTTATTTTGTGAAGTGGACACCGATGTTGAACCTAAAAAGAAGCAGCTTTAAACAATTAATCTTTTTTTGAATTTTTTTTCTTTCCACCCATTATTTTCTGCACGAAAAATGTAAATTTAAAAAGTACAGAAATAAACCAAAACTAAAAATAGATACAGTTGTTTCAGTCAAAGAGAATACAGGTGAGCAAAGAAGGAAAAAGTAAATTTAAGTAGTTGGGTTTTCTCTTTTTGCACTTCAAGGTTCACCTATGGTCTATACGAAAAAGAGGAGATGAATAAATAGTAAATAAAAATACTCTGAGATGTTTGTGGAATGTTTGGATACTGGAGATATTGGCCAATCTTAAATGTTGTTTTGACGGGTAAGAGTAAAACAGAATCTGTTCCGGAATTTCCACACATTGCACGCGTGAATTGCGCCCTGAATTGTGCGCGTGACCGAAAAAGTCTTCGATGCGTGTCCAGAATGTTCCCGAGACGACTAGCCGAAGTAGTACGTGAATGTTATGATATGGCGCAATAACAACGCTGATGGCACGCGCGACTGATCACACATGACCTTTGTTCGGTACGTCTAGACACACCCATCTACGTGTGTATTCCGAAAGTCACGCAGGTTTGATAAGTGTCTATTTACGTTTTACAGTCGTGATATTGATATCCGTGTCTGCGCCAGCGTAGCAATCTAGAAGTGAATTTAAGAACGGTCTTGTGGCTCTTATGCCTCTGCAAAGGCATCGATGTGCACGGTTCGACGCAAGCAACTCGGGCTGTGTGGTTGGGTCTGTTTGTATTCGACTGACGGTTGGATCACTCTGGCTTGAGACCCATTTTAAGTCCTTGTTTACATTATTATGAAATATCATTCGGTTTTAAAGAGTATGACGTGATGTTGCTGTGTTTTTTTGATGTCTGTTTGCAATACTCCTTGCAGACGTTTGCTTGGATAAATATTTACCCAATCCAGTTGCGAAAGACGCGAGGTTAGTGAGAAGATTCCTGCCTAGTTAAAGTCAGGTGATACAAATTTTGTTTGTATGAATGATAAATGGCTTCTTCATATAGAAACCCCTTCTGACTAAAGGAATTTTGAAAATTTGTTTCAGCCGAAAAACTTTCGATGCCATTTAGGCTTTACGTCATAAGCTTTCATGACTTTTATTTGAAACCCTGATTATCTTGCATGGTAAATAATATCGAAACTGTAAATATCTAAAACGGAAATGTTCAGTGATTGTTATCTATTACACCTTTAAAACATACTCTAACTATACGAATAAACTGAACAAACCGGTAGCAATCTCTGCTTTTGACAACACGAAACCGACAAACATCAGTGAGACGAAATGTATGGCATGGACCCGGGATCGTGGATACTGCAGAGCATATCTAAGTCTGTGGGTTTGCGTTTATCGTGAAATGAATTGATGAACAACCGTGAGAAAGATATTACGGATAAAGTTTCGTTTCAACGTTTAGATAAGGCACTTCCAGCGTGCTTTAATCTTGTTAAACAATAAACAAGCTTTCGTTTCTTGCTATAATACCACCCGAGGGTATAATACCGAACGGTACATTTGGCAACAAACCAAGAACTATTAGATGTCATTATATTTCCCGTTACATTTGGAGCCCATTGCTGACAAGGATTATGCGTGCTTTGAGCTTGTTCTTAGCTCGCTCTGATGTTTTTTTTTATTCCTTTAACCTCAACGAAAGAGGCAGTATCGCTTGCTTGAGTGCAATTGACAGGAATTTCACTTTAGCTGGTTTTACCGCAAAATCCCTCATCGTGTGAGCCCGGCGTGTAGGCGAGTGTGCGTTGCAGCGTAACGCCTGCGAGGCCTTCTAATTTTAGTGCTAAATACTGTTATAAACGACTCCCCCGCTTGCTGGTGTTATGGTTACTCTTCGGTGGAAGTTATATAACCATTTTAAGTAAATCGTTTCAGTAAGGACATAGGTAAGGGGAAACTAAGCAAAACAAAACAAAAACACGCAGGGCTGACGGCTTTGTTGTCCCTTGCTTTCGCCATTTGAAGGAGCATTATCACAAGCATTACTTCGAACCACAAGACTTATGTAATTCAATAAAAACCTAAAAGAATGCCTTGAGTTTCTGTTAAAATTGCTACACTGATTATTCTGAGACTTTTAAGAGGGTGTTATTGTGATTTAAACTTGCATGAAATTTTGATCTCTTGCAGTCGAACAAGTGGGGCAGACTCTTTGAACTCATATCTTGAAAAAAATTAAAATGGATTATTTTGTTGACCCTTCAAAAATACACATATCTTTCCCTTGGTGTTCTCAAGGTGCATTTCGTCTATGAGCGAGAAAGTACACAGCATTGATTTTGACACCATTTGTACCAAATCGCTGTGATAATGTCCGTTTTTTTGTATGCTTCTCAAAAATTCACTCGCGCCCTGTCCCACCACTCTTAAAAGATGACTTGCTTGCAAGTTAGTTCTTTATTTTTTACATGTCTGTGACAGGTCTTAAAGAATTCACCAGGCCCGATTCAAAACTCGTTCCTTCTCATAGTCGAAAGAACGATTGAACGCACCGGACAGAAACCATTATTTCTTGACGAAGTTTACAAATTTAGTTACCGAGTGGGAGAACACTTCGCCTGCAAATACACCAAGTACTTGACCTTATAACCGGCACGGAGGGCTACTGCGTACATAGAATATCTGCTTAGGATTACGTACCGGAAAACATGGCATTCTGTAAATATTTTAAGTTTGTTTTTTTTTTGGCATTTAAACATGGATACAGTTATCAGCAAGAGACAGCAGTGTTAATAGGTCTGCCTTGGCGTGAAATAACACAAAACAACAGCTACAAAACGTAATAAAAAAAACTATGAAGACTATGATCTTTCATATATTTACTCGTAACAATAAAACTGTTAATCGATACACTGCTTTGAGACAAAGTACCCGTGCTAAATGCATGTTTTTCACTGATTAGAAAGTTGCTTGAAGTTTTGAAAGATTGCCAAGGATGTGAAGTAAC